ACACCATCCTGACACAGGGCAGTGGGGGACTTGGGGATCTCAAATTTCAGTGGTGCCCTGTGCACTAAAATTCACCCCCCACACCCACTGCCTCTTGTGTTCCATTCAACAATATTGTTGTTGCGCCCAGTGCTTTTTTTCTGGCGGTACACACCAGTATGCAGTACTAGGACATTTTTCTCCCCTTGCCATGACTTTTGAAATTGATGTCAAAACAGGGGCATGATCATGGTAACTCTCTGAACAGACCACAACTGCTTCCAACAACGTATTTCACCATTTGCCGTGACAAGACATCACCTATACTTGTTCAACTCTTTAGATGTGAAGGCCTCCTCACTACCTCTGCTCCAATTCCGTAAATCCAAAGCTATAGTATAGAGGATGTTTGCGTAGTCGCTCAGAAACCATGGGCACTACCATTTGTATCTTACAAATGCAGCTGGAAAATTAAAGCAACGGTTTCTCCAGCTCTTCCACAATACCAAGGGCCAAGTGGCCCAACAGACTTCCAGAGGCCACGTTCTTCCTGTTGGGATGCTAGAAGCCGCTCTTAACTGTTTGGCTTGTTCTTCCAGTCATCCATTACACAGCTCCAAGTGCATGTAAAAGAGGTCCTCACTTATAATGGTGAATACTACACGCACAGCCATGAGGAAATAAGTATGGATGCTATTCAGTTCCATTGAACAGAGTTTTCCTGAAAGCTATGAAATGCATTTCTCTATGGGGGGGGGGTGTCAGTTTTAGAGGAAGGAAGAAAATAGCAAAAGCAAAACAACCCCCAGAGAGGTAATAAATACAGTTAATGTTTATGTGCTCTGTAAGCCCTCTGTTTTGTTTTTCTAATGTTCTATTTCTGTCACCTTACCAGCTATACTTGAAAGAGTAGCTGAATCTATTTCTAGCTTTCCCACAGGGACCATGATAAAAGTACAGAAAAATATGCCACGTGCAGTCATTCTGATATATAATATATAAATTCCACATACCTTTACAGAAGTTCAAATGTTGGCTTGGAGGGTTTTTTAAAAAAGGGATGTACATAAGAACATAAGAGACCTCCTGGATTTGACTGGAGGCTTATCTAGTTTAGCTTCCTATTCTCACAGTGGTCAACCAGTTGTACACATGGGAATTCCTCAAGTAGGACATATATCTTGGTCACCGGTCCATCAGGCATAATACCACTTGCTAATTCCCATGTAGCAAAGTGAACCAAAGTCCAAGGAAAATTGTGCATGCTCTTATGAGGAACCTAATGAGAAATGAATCTGAATGCTTGTGCTCACTCCTGATGACTAGGCTTGTGGTGGTCTCCATGTCAGCAAGCTTTAATGTTCATGTGGAGACCACCTCAACCATAGTCAAGCTATGCCATGGTTTTTGTAATGAGGTGGTTTTGATGTGCAAATTTTGCTTTTCCTACACGTTAGGTATACCTAAAAATTCAGCCTGAAAAGATGGAAGAGGGTTTTTTTATGGCCATCCTCAGAATGCCCATTCTGTTGAAACAAGCTGTTTGCCTGAATATAGTAAAAGGTAAAGGGACCGCTGACCATTAGGTCCAGTCGTGGACGACTCTGGGGTTGCAGCGCTCATCTCGCTTTACTGGCCGAGGGAGCCGGCGTACAGCTTCCAGGTCATGTGGCCAGCATGACTAAGCCACTTCTGGCAAACCAGAGCAGCGCACAGAAATGCCATTTACCTTCCCGCCAGAGCGGTACCTATTTATGTACTTGCACTTTGACGTGCTTTCAAACTGCTAGGTTGGCAGGAGCAGGGACCGAGCAGGGATTAGAACCACTGACCTTCTGATCAGAACAGACAACTAGGGTGGCAGTCAATGCTAGGGTTACTCAAAATAGACCTGTTTAAATTACTATACATGACCAACTTGGGTTCATTACTTTCAGCAGGTCTGCCCCGAATAGGACAGAGGAACCTGTGGCCATCCTTTATAGAAGTTTAAAAACTTAAATAAAATACTGACTTCATTGAGGGACAAAACAGTCACTCCCATCACACAGTTATCTGGCATAACTTATGCCAATGACAAAACAATACTCTACACACACACACACAGGGAGAGAGAGAGAGAGAGAGATAGAACTAACTAAATCTTGCACATATCTCGCCATTTCCTCAACACAATTCTGTACAGACCCACAATGAGATCCCAAAATGCACGCATACAAAATCCTCCAGACTTCATCACCTATGACAATACCATTGTTGTTGTTGTTAATTTATTATTGCCTCCTGAAAACCACCATGTACACCCTAAAAGCCAACCCTGGAGGTTTTGGAACTCTTAAAGGAAGAAGCAGAAGTAGATAAGGGAGGATAGTGGTGAAAATGGGATGTGCTGCCTTATGCAAGCAGAAATGTTTTGCACTGGTGCAAAAGCCATTGATGGATAACACCCCCCCGCCCGAGATTCCTGTATTTTGGTATAAAAACCACACATAGCAAAGGCTGGGGTGGGGGTGGGGAGAATTCCCTCAGGTCAGAAAACTGCAAAGAAGTAGTTAGATCTAATTTTTTTGGCACCAAGTTAAACTGAGGAGGAGTGGGGGCTGGAGATTTAAAAAGTGCATTCAAAGATACTTTTCTTTTTTTCAAATCCAGTTGAATCAACAAGCCATTTCCTGCATTAATTTTCCAGCTAATGTAATTATATAGCCACAAGCTTTGGCTCCTGATCAGTTAAAAGAGCAGCAAAAAAAAAAACCCAAAACAAAAAAACCCCAGAGTCTCAAACTACCACATATTAATCATCACATCTGATAGAAGGAAATGGGCTTTATTGTGGTTCCTGCTTTGCAAATCAAACCCGTAACCACAGCTGATGTGGCTGTGTTCTACTCTTTAAAACATACACCGGTTTTATTAGTATTTCTGTAATGCCCTGATGTTACAGGCACATTAGATGTGTTCCTGTTCTCAAACAGAATCCAGCTGAACAAAATTCTGCCTTTCTGCATAGCAACAAAATGTGTTTAAATAGCATTGCCCACGGCCTGCTTCTAGCATAGTTTTAAGCCATCTTTCGACCCGGGATGGCAAAACAAAACAGAACAAAAAATAGCAAGTTTGTGCTCCTCAGATGAAATAAACCAAATAATGGTTTCCTTCTACCATTGGCCTTCATTCTGTCCCTCCTAAAAAATAAATAAATCAGTGTAATGATTTCACCCTCATTTTGGCACAGTTTTAGCAGACTTCAAATGCACATGGCTTTTCTGCACCTGTGATACCAAGAAGCACAAAGCGTTGTTGTTGCTGTTTAAAAAAGCAACAACAACCAACATTTCTTGTATCCTTGAGGCACAAAGCAATTACTGCTCAACATTTTGTACTCATCATACAATTCTGGGCGTGTGCATATTGAAGGAGATGAGTCTGTGACATGACTGGTGCAAAAGGATTTGGTGGCGTTACAAATTCATGCTTTTTAAAAGTTGCAGCAGGTGTTGTTGGTTGGCTCAACAGATGCAGCTATGTGTATACTGCTATCACAGAGATAAGAAGCCAGAAAGATGAGGAAGACATCTCCCTTCCCTCCCATTCCCCGCAATACATTCACATTTTCAGTTTTGACTTCATAGTAGTGGTGGGAATTATTAAGTACTTTAAATTCTGTTTCACACTACATGGAATAGGAGAGACAATTCCCTGCCAGAATGACTTGCAGTCTGTTTATTTATTCAATATAAGGTCCCAGGGTGGGCTGCAACATTAAATCAGTTAAAAACAGTGGGCCCTCAGAATAACAGCCCTAAAATATACCCCTCACAGGCATTAAAGGCCAAGTTGGGCTACTCAAATGCAAGCACAGGAGGCCCAATCCAGATCTGGACTTCAGCAATGGAGAGAAGAGCTTTAATCCTTCTCTTTCCAGCTATAACTCCCACCTCCCCCAAACCCCCTCTCCTGCATGGCGAGGGAGGGGAAGGTGCCATAACTAGATATTATGAGAAAACCAGAGGATGTTGTTGTTATTTAGTCATTTAGTCGTGTCTGACTCTTCGTGACCACATGGACCAGAGCACACAAGGCCCTCCTGTCTTCCGCTGCCTCCTGGAGTTTTGTCAAATTCATGTTGGTAGGTTCTATAACACTGTCCAACCATCTCGTCCTTTGTCGCCCCCTTCTCCTTGTGCCCTCAATCTTTCCCAAAATCAGGGTCTTTTCCAGGGAGTCTTCTCTTCTCGTGAGGTGGCCAAAGTATTGGAGCCTCAGCTTCAGGATCTGTCCTTCCAATGAGCACTCAGTGTTGATATCCTTCAGGATGGATTGGTTTGATCTTTTTGCAGTCCATGAGACTCTCAAAAGTCTCCTCCTGCACTATAATTCAAAAGCATCAATCCTTCAGCGATCAGTCTTCTTTATGGTCCAGCTCTCATTTCCATACAGCTATGGGAAAACCATAGCTTTAACTATATAGACCTTTGTTGGCAAGGTGATGTCTCTGCTTTTTAAGATGCTGTCAAGGTTTGCCATTGCTTTTCTCCCAAGAAGCAGGCGTCTTTTAATTTTGTGACTGCTGTCACCAACTGCAGTGATCATGGAGCCCAAGAAGGTAAAATCTGTCACTGCCTCCATTTCTTCCCCTTCTATTTGCTAGGATGTGATGGGACCAGTGCCCATGATCTTAGTTTCTTTGATGTTGAGCTTCAGACCATATTTTGCAGTCTCCTCTTTCACCCTCATTAAGAGGTTATTTAATTCCTCCTCACTTTCTGCCATCAAAGTTGTGTCATCTGCATATCTGACTTTGTTGATATTTCTTCCAGCAATCTTAATTCTGGCTTGGGATTCATCCCGTCCAGCCTTTCGCATGATGAATTCTGCATATAAGTTAAATAAGCAGGGAGACAATATACAGCCTTGCCGTACTCCTTTCCCAATTTTGAACCAATCAGTTGTTCCATATCCAGTTCTAACTGTTGCTTCTTGTCCCACATAGAGATTTCTCAGGAGACAGATAAAGAGGTAGCTCCTCTTATAGCTCAGTGGTAAGAGAATCTGCCTTGCATGCAGAAGGTCTCAGGTTCAGTCCTCAGGTAGGGCTGGGAGAGGCCCACATCTGAATCTTTGGAGAGCTGTCAGTCAGGGTAGGCTGACAGGGTATCATTAGATGAACTAATGATGACAGCATCCCGTGTCTCTCCCGCTCCCCTAGGAACCAGCTCCTAGGGGCTGAGATTCCTTTGGGCCCCTAATAAAATATTTGAGCAGCCCAAACCCCCCAAAGTTGATGGATATTCCCATTCAAAGTGTGTGTGTGTGTGTGTGTGTGTGTGTGTGTGTGTGTTGCGTCTTCTGATCAATTATGTGGGGCAGGGCTTACCTGGCATCCCTGCCCATTCCTCATAACACTATTCATCTGTGATATATGTTTCTGGAACTCCCTTCCCAAGGAGACTTACCTGGTGCCACTTTTATTATCTGTTCAGCTTCAGGACAAAGCATGTTTAGCCACTCAGGTGTTTTAGCAGCTTCTACTTTTCAAACAGTGCTGGGAGGATGATGTAATTTGAAAACACTGGCATGGAATGTTTGTTTCCTTGTTTTTACTTTGCTGCTATAATTGCTATTTTTAATTTGTGCTGGTTATGTTGTTTGTTGATTGCTTTTAATAGCTTTACTGCATATCTAGCGTTATTATCTTTTTGTTTAAATTGCATTGTAAGCAAGCTTAGAATAAACATTATGGGAGGCAGAATTAATAAATACCTTTAATAAAACAAATGTTAAACCCAAATACATATGTGATAGTGTCCACAGCAGAGCAGAACATGAGGCATCACATCGCAGGCTGTCAGGTTTGGGCAAGACATGATCATCTCACACATAGTGAGGGAGAGAAAATGACAGCTAGATAGCTTGTAGCTTATATTTTTGCCTGCCTTCCAGTTCAGATTTTGAGGCAGAGGGAATTGCAAACCCCAAGCTCCCAAGCACAAAACGATCTTCTGTTTCCAGATAGAGAAGTCAACAGGGTTGCTCATGTATTTTTTTAGTTCTCCCTTCTGACGCTTCTGCCTTCTCTCTCCTCAGTGTTAGCTTGGTGTGCATTTTCAGCTTGGGAACAGGGAACTGGGCAGGGTGGCTGGGCTGGTAACAGGACCAGTTCAAGCTCGATCAAATTCTATGCCTGGTTCAAACTGGGGTGATGCTTTTTTAAACCAGGGGAGTTCACATCTCACAACCCTGAAATTCTGAATCCGCCCCTCACTCAGCACTAATCTCACTATGCTTTCCATTCAACTAAACACTATGAAAAAGAGGAAGATGCAGTACCTGGAGACAGCAGAGACTGAACCTGAGACCTTTCACATGTGATGGATGTGCTCTGCCACTAAGCTACGGGATCATCCTAAACTCTGTGAATTTGAATAGTTGCCATCTTAGCCAAATGTAGAAAGCTGAAGCTAAGGGGTGCATATATCAACTGGACTTTTCCCCTCAGTTCTCATCAGGACTAGTTTAAGAAGTTAATATTTAACAACAACAAAAACTTATACACTACATTAAACAAAGGAAATGAAACTGTCAAAAGCAACGATAAAGAAAGGTCAATGTCAAGAATGAAACCTACTGAAACCAATATGCATGGAAGGAAGGTGCTGTTGAGCAGTTTCTAAAAACGGCAGAGCGCATACAGTTTAATGTATTCTGGCATTCTTTCCAAGCTCATGTGTTCTAAAATGCCCAGCACCAGGGTGGTCTGTGGGTACTGAGGAACTTGAGCTGCATGTTACAATAATAGCCAATAACCTATTTGAATGCCACGTTTCAAAAATGAAACACAAACCTGAAGCCACAATGTGCCTCTGAAGGCCAGGTGCTGGGAAGCACAAATGCAGAAAGCCCTGATGTGCTCAGGTGCTTCTTTTGGGCTTCCCACAGGCATCTGGTTGACCACTGTGAGAAGATGATGCTGGACTAGATGGGGCATTGGCCTCATCATGCAAGGCTGTCCTTAAGCTGCAACACAAGAGATCAGCTGCCCGCAACTGTCCCAGTCTTCCCTAAGTGTCGCTCTTGTAAAGGATTTCAAAAAGCCTATTCTCCTAGTTCAAAACTGCATTCAGATAACAAGTCTACAACTAAAGAGAAGATGAGCCACAAACCTGAGCAACTCTGCAAGGAAGACACTTTTCTGCAGAACGCCCTCAAAATAAGGAAACTACAAGGTTTTATGGTTTTCCCAGTAGTGATGTATGGAAGTGAGAGCTGGACCATAAAGAAGGCTGATTGCCGGAGAATTGATGCTTTTGAATTATGGTGCTGGAGGAGACTCTTGAGAGTCCCATGGACTGCAAGAAGATCAAACCTCTCCATTCTGAAGGAAATCAGCCCTGAGTGCTCACTGGAAGGACAGATCCTGAAGCTGAGGCTCCAATACTTTGGCCACCTCATGAGAAGAGAAGACTCCCTGGAAAAGACCCTGATGTTGGGAAAGACTGAGGGCACAAGGAGAAGGGGACAACAGAGGACGAAATGGTTGGACAGTGTTCTTGAAGCTGCCAGCATGAGTTTGACCAAACTGCAGGAGGAAGTGCCTGGTGTGCTCTGGTCCATGGGGTCACGAAGAGTCGGACACGACTAAACAACTAAACAACAACAACAACAAGGTTCTTTTCTCTGCAAGCCAGAGAACATTGACATTAACTGTGACCTGAGAATCACACCTGATATTTCTAATATAGGATGGTTATGTGATCATCTTTAGCAATCCCTCGCAATGGCATCTTCCTATGAAGTGATGTAAGTGTCTTCTGTGGTGGGATATATGTGCTGTGCCCAGAACTGCCAGGGGGTTTGGGTCCAGGGGTTAACAATTTTGTTAGATCCTAACTCAGTGCTGCTGGGAGTGGAGCAGTTAATCCTACAAGGCCATCCCTCTTTTGTCCCTAAGATTTCTGATTCAGGACTTCACACTACAAATTAGTGACTCCAGTGACCTGGATCAATTTAAGAGTGCCTTCAGGTCAGTAGCTCTGAACATAGGAGACTTATGAAAAAGCACAGCTCATTCATGCCTGAAACTCACTTCTGAGTCTGTATGCCATTAGTGATATTTAAAAGGTTTTAGGTTTCCAGCCAGCAACAGAGGGTGGAAAAAACTGAAATCTTAAGTTAAGAGAATATAAAGAGCCCGGAAGGATTAAAATAATAATAATAAATCTGGTTCTGACTCGGCTTTTGGCTTATGCTACTCCATAATTGCCATAAATACTAACTCTGAAAGAATGCTAATTTGAACATAATTTGCCTCTTCATCTTACAGAGGGTATGGTTTCTAAATACAGAAAGTAATGAAATCTGAATAAGCAATAGAAAGTCTATGTTCACTGTCAATCTCAACGTTACATTTGGATGAATATTTGAAACCTCTGATTCCTGGCTGACCGTCCTGTCTTCTAACTGACTCCATATGAAAAATGCTTAGTAACAGAATTAAGGTTTCCATTTATCCACATAAGAGCAGAGTGCAGGAAGCCTTAAGGGAAATGCTTTCTTTGTATTAAATTTCAACACAACACGGAACAATCTCAGAACCACTAAAAGTTTTGTAATAGGTTTAAACGTATATAGAGAAATACTGGCTGAAAGAAAAAGAAACCTTCTCATTTCCACTTTTTTAACTCCGACACAATATGATTAAATCCTTTGTCACCCACATGCATAATAATAATAATAATAATAATAATAATAATAATAATAATAATTTTATTTATACCCTGCCCATCTGGCTGGATTTCCCTAGCCACTTTTATGCAAAATCTGAACTGATGCAAAAAGGGGGGGGGGGATAGTATTGTTGGAAACAGAATATCCACTGCAATGTAATGAAAACTGAACATCTGAACATCTTGAGTCATAATCTACAAAACCTGGTGTTGTCAGGGCTGGTAGCAGGCAGTAGCAGAGATCGACAAATTGGACAATTTCTGTTTCTCAGCCTTAAATCTCAAGTTCTCGATAATTCTGCATCAGTTTGCAAGACCTCCTAAAAACAAATGAAAATGAAACCACCGGTTCCTGATTTGCAGAGTGTGTCATTTTGTTTCTGGCTGAACTTAGTGTATGGTCAGATGTTGCAACAAATGGAAAATCCATAGAAGGTTTTGATACTCTTGCCTGGCACTCTTACATCTGGCCATGAGTGGTGCTAATGGAATGACAGGTCTGTTTTGCATTACCCACCCTCTACCTTACAGGCACTACATTTGCCCTGATGGTAGCAGATAGAAAGAGACGCCTTGTAAACTGGCCCTCATATTTACTGATTGAAGGTGTGGGTTGAACTATGTTAATACAACAAATGCTTAGGGCAAAAAGGAGCCCTGCTTAAGGTCCACTGATCTCAGGGGGAAATACCTGAGCAGCGGTTCAACTCACTCGTTTGATGCACTTGATGCTCAAAGTTTCTTAAGACTTGGCTAGCTCATAACATTAATTTTGTTTCTGGAGTGAAACAACTAGTAGCAGTGCAATCCTGTTCATGGTTACTCCAAATGAAGTCCCATTATATTCAATGGGACTTAATCCAAGGTTGTTGTGTACGTACTCTCCAACATTCCACAAATGAAATTTGACTGTGGCACTGGCAGGGGAAATAGGGACATTCCAGGATCAAATCAGAAGCTGGGATGGCTTCTGTAATTTTGGGACTGTCCCTGGAAAATATGGGCACTTGAGAGGGTGTGTGTGTATAGTTTTTTGACCTAATCACACAATTCCACACTTGTCTACTTAGAGTCTTAAAAGTAAGCCTGAGTTCCACTGGACTTATTCCTAGGTAACTGTGTTCAGGATTGCAGCTTAAATGTTACACAATTTAAGTCAAACCTTACAGGTATTATAGTAACACTGGGATAGGGAATCTGGGGCCCTCTGGATGTTGTTGGACTACAACTCCCATCATCCCTGAATACTGGGCATACTGTCTGGGGCTGATGGGAGATGGAGTCCAAAAACACCTGAAGGGAGACAAGTTTCTCATTCCTGCATTGAAAGGAAGTCCAGCTCCCATCATGCTATGAGGCAGTGAAAGAAAGAA